TAATAGCTCACCTTTACTGACTGCTATCAGTGTACCAAGCCCTGTGTTCCCTGTTCTATGTACGCCATTATATCCACCAGTAACAAACCCTTGGGAACAATTCCACTTCAAAGACAGGGAGGCCAAAGCTTAAAGGAACAAAATAGTCACCTGTAAGAGCTCAAGACATCTACCTCTCTGCTATACTTTTCCTCAGCCTCAAGGCTTTAAATGCTGAACAGAAGGTGACTATGAAGAAAAAGGGAATGTGTCTATCCAATATAGCCCACATGACAAGGCAGGATTTACAGAAGTAAACTAGGGAAAAGTGTCTTTTAGACTGGTTACCACCAGAATGGTTCCACTACAGAACAGGCTGCCCCAAAGAAGCAAAGCTTCTCTGGACAGAGCCATACAACGTAGATCATCTGCCAAAGATAATCTAAAAGGAACTCTTACACAGGGAAGCTGAATCTAGACTAGACTTCTAACAGGCCTTTTCAAACTCTAAGAGTCCTGTTTACAATAAACACCAAACTTCTCCATCATTTAGTTTTTACTATGCAATTCAGTGCTGAACTGTGTAATCCTTCATATCCATCTTTTTGCTTCAGGTGTACAGTCATCTCTTCATGGGCATTAGCCACAGGTTAAATTTCCTTCCTATCCCTTAGAGAGCCCAGGACACTTCTGAGCCCACAGTAGGGAATTCTATTTGAGCACACAGATTTCCCTGCATCTGTTAAAGCAGATAAGCATTTGTGCCCAGGGCTAACATGCATGGGTATCTGTATTTAGTTGTATGGGTTGGAACAACTTCAGTGGACTTGTTTGATCAGTTAGGAGGGAATGTTATGGTTTGGATGTCTCTCCCAGAAGCAGGTTTTGAAAACTTAATCCCCAACCTAACAAAGTTGGAAGCCTAATGTTTAGGTCATGAGGACTCCTCCTTCATGAATGGATTAATGCTGATCACAAAAGGGCTAATCTGTAAATTAGCTCTCTTGCTCTCTCCAGTGGGCTCTCCTGCCCTTCTACCTTCCATCCAGGGATGATGCAGTAAGAAAGCCCTCACCAGATGTAAACTCCCTGACTTTGGATTTTGCAGGTTCTACAACTCAACTATACAAAATAAATCTCTGTTCTTTACAAATTACCCAATGTAAGTATATTGTTATTGTAGCACAAACTGGGTGAAGACAAGGTGTGTGTCTTAGGTGCTGAAATTTCTGGTGCCAATTTGGATGAAGGCAAGAAACATTTCTGATAGTTATTAGAAAGGATAAGTTATGCTCAGTATGGGAACAATAACTTTTTAGTGTTTTTTTTTTGTTGTTGTTGGCAGTACTGAAGTTTGAACTCAGGGCCTCACACTTCCTATGCAGCACTCTACCACTTGAGCCACTCTGCCAGCCCTGTTTTTCATGTTGAGTATACTCAATTAATTTCTTGTTTCGAGAGTGAACACTATCTATGTAGTCATAACAATTCAATCTAAATTAGTAAGTGACCCAAAATAATGATAATCTTATGCAGGGAGCAAGGGTGAGGTGTGGGGAAGAGAGGTAGTAAAGTGCTAGATCCTCCTCTCCACTGTAATAAGAAGACAACAAGTATCACCAAAAATGAATATGTCTAAGAATGTATAGAAATATGAAGACAAAAATGGGAAGAAACTGCCTCTGGAAGACAGTACTGGAGGAGAGGCAGACTGATTATTTTTGGGTGGAGGGCAGTACTAGGGATTGAACTTAAGACTTCACTCTTGCTAGGCAGGTGCTCTACCACTTGAGCTACACCTCCAAGCCTTTTTGTTTTAGTTATTTTTTAGAAAGGGTCTTGTGCTTTTTGCCCAAGGCTGGCCTCAATCTGAGATCCTCCTATTTCTGCCATATGTGTAGCTGAAATTACAAGTGTGTACCACTGTGCCTAGCCTGATGCTGATTTTTTTTACCGCAACCCCTTCCCATTTTCTTTTTCATGGTGCTGGGGGGTGGGTGGTCAAACCCAGGGCCTTACAAATGTTAGACAAGTGCTCTATCACTAGTGATATCCCCAGTCTTAACTCCTCCCACCTTTTAAAGAAAAAAATCTTAAGCTTTAAAAATCATATACATTTAATGTATGGTAAAAATTAAAACCAATAAAATATATGTTCACTTAAGAGCTGTATGACATCCCTTCCATCACTCTGATAAAGCTTACACTACTATTTTTCTGTCTGCTTGCATTCGCCCCCAAATCTTTTCAATAAATCCAATGAAACTGTGAGAGAGGGCACTATCAAGGGAGCGTGGGCTAATCAGAAGGTTTTTACCCTTGGATTAAATGCCATCTGGAATAGCAAGACAAACTCCTCACTCCAAGTGAAAGGTCAGCTACCCTGGGAGGACTTCCTCCAGTTTCGTAGAGACACGTGTACATCAGAGTCCCCCTAAAAGTGAGCACATCTCTAAAATCCACTGTTTCAGATTACTGGAAGTTAGAAATCACTTCTGTCAGTGAACATTATCCCCATCACATTAACAGTCTGGAAAAAATGCTACAGCACAAAGACTTCCTGATATTTCACACAGAGGCCTATGTCTCCAGGGGCTTCCTGATCTGGTGGGATTTCCTCTCACCAGCACATACATGGACATGCAGTGTCCACTACGACCTGAGGACAACTAGCCCATCAAAAGTAGAGAATTTGTTTGTCAAGAGAACTTCAATTCATTCATTTATTTATTCAGAGAGTCAACCATTATCAAGTGAGTATCTATTGTCTGCTGCAAGGAAGGGTCTATGGAGAATTTAAAGACTTGGTCTCTGCTCTTAAGAAGTTTAGTGGAACTAGGACACAGTGGATAATTACTGACATATTTGTCAATCTCCAACTCTGCACAACACTCTAATGAGATAAAGATGAGGATTTGGTATTGGAAGTTTGTAAATTGATTCAAAATGAGATACTCTCTTAGATATGTTTTTTGGTGTTTTTCCCAGTGCTTGGGAATCAAACCTGGAACCTTGCTGGGGATCAAATCCAGGACCTTGCTCATGCCAGGCAAGTACTTTACTGCTATGCTACATCCTTAGCCCACAGTGTGTATTCTTGTAAAGCTTCCAGGGTTGATCCTTTCTAAGAAGATGTCAAACTTTGCCCTTGTCCATAGTTAAGTAAAATGAGGCTGCAAATAAGATTACAGTTACTCCAGAATGACTCAGGAGTGCATCTCAGAAACTGCCAATGACAAAAGAGAAATAGCTCCCTACAGACAGTTTTGTTCTTACTGGCAAGCCATGCCTCCAGCCCTTTTTGCTCTGATTATTTTTGAGATAGGGTCTTGCTTGCTTTTTGCTCAGGCTGGCCTGGACCATGACCCTCCTATTTTACATTTCCCTCTGTAGCTGGAATAACCGATGGGCACCATCACACTCAGCTATTGGTTGAGCTTAGGTTTTGCCAACTTTTGGCCCAGGCTAGCCAGGAACTGTGATCCTTCTGACTTCAGCCTCTCAAATAGCTAGGATTACAGGCATGAGCCACTGGTCCTGTGTGGAACGACTTCTTAAAAATATTGACAGGATAAAATAATCTTGCTTCCGTCGAATGAACTAAAAACATTTTTAGTATGAAATAGTATCTTATTCTGAAATAGTTCATTGGCAGTGACAACTAAGACTGGATTTATTTGACCAAAGTGTAATATTTGATATAGTAGCTTGGCAAATAAAGTTAAAAACAGCAAGCAGTTATCCATCAAACCAATCCACTAACAACAAGATATTACAATAATTTATAATTCATAAGCAGTGGTAAGAATCAAGGTTGAAAAGTAGAAGAAATGCATTTCAAGTATTATCTAAAGAAGAACAGCAATATTAATGACCATTGTTGCCACTTCTTGAACACTTACTAAGTCAGACACAATGCTAACCGCCAAGGTGGCCTATAAGTTAGATATTTTTTACTTATTTGCTTTTTGCACTTCTGGGGATTGAACCTAGGGCCCCTCCCATGCCAGACAATGTTTGGCTCAAGTGTATATCACTTGAGCCCCACCCCTAGCCCCCTATATATTTAGTTTTAAGATCTTGGACTATGGATCGAGGCTGACAGTATTCAAAAATCAATTCTGCCACACTGTGTGACCTTGGGCAAGCTATTAATCTCTCTGTGCCTGTTTCCTTATCTGTAAGATGCACATAATAATGGAAGGTACTTCCAAGAGCTGTCTGAGTCCCAAATGAGTACGTGGAAAGTGCCAGACATATAGTTAGTGTTACAAGGGTGTTAGATGTTGTTGTTCTTAAAGCTAAGCCACAGGCATGGCCAAAAATCAAACTCCAGACAAACTCCGCATTTTTAAACACTATGCACATTGACTCAATGAGATCCGACTGAAAATGAGTTAAGCAATAACGAATGTGCTATGTTTCTTGAAGATTTAACAAAACAAAACCACAAATGTATGAAAACCTGAGCAGTAGCCATCAATAAAAGGAGAAGCTCAAAATGGGATTAGCTATGGAGGTGGACTGGTGTGCATTAGAGAAACATTGCACTGGGTCAGGAGAGCAGATTCTAATACCAGTTCAGCAGCCAACTAGCTGTGTGCCCCTGCCTGGCTCTGAACTTCAGCTGCCAAATAAGGGGGCAGGCAATCTGAGGTATCTTCTAGAATTGATATCCTATGATACAATGACTCAACAGAACACACTGTACTTTAAAAATGTACCTTTCATTAGAAGAAAATGGTAGTATGACTGTTGTCACATGTACTTCAATAGATACAATATCTAGAATGTTATTTATAATTTTGGGCAGAGGATGAAAGGGGAATTAAACAGCTCAGATAAGCAACCCTCTTGTATATGTTTAAATGTCATTAAACTATAAACTGAGAAATAAAACTAATCATTCTGATAACACTGTAGTAATTTCTCAAACGCACTAAATCTTTTAACAGAGAAACTGTATTTCATATACGTGTGGTTAATAAATTCTTCAGAATGCTCAGTTCTAATCAAATTACCTTTTTGCCCATGACGACTGCTGAACTTGTCCCCGATCTCTGGCCTCCGTGTCTGCCTCAGGAGCATTTTAATCAGGAAGGCATCCTCAGCATTGGAAGATATCATCACCTTCTCGATATAGGAATCTGTTGCTCCTTTGTAACTAATGTAAAGAGAAAGTCACTAAAACCGTTTTTAAAGTGCCCTTGGTGAATTTATCACCCATAACATATTCTATTTAATCCTACCACAAAATAATTTGATACTCTCATCTTATGCTCTGAAAAATAACTTTCATTTTTAAACATTAAATTCAAATTTTACAATTTCCCTTTTACAGTCCTATACATTTATCATGAGGCAGGTATAGTGTAATTGAATTCTCACAACCATCCCACATTGTTATTCCCTTACTATGACAAGGAAAACGGGTGCTTAGATAGGCTAAGTGACTTCTCAAAGGGTACCTGCCTCATGGAGTAGGGTTGGGATTTGAGTAGAGCCTATTAAATCCAACTCCAAGTTTTTCACCACCTCTGTAATAGTTCTTTAATCTACTCAGCTTTTCATTATTATTTTTTCCCCACATGGTTTGCCTCTCAGAGTTTTTCATACAACAGACATTATGAAGATTCTAGTAAGTGTCCCATCCCTGCAGGCTCTGGACACACAGATAACTGAGAGGACACAGTTCCTATACAAAGGGAGCTTGCCTCCAATGTGGCAGAGGGCGGAGTGTGGCCAAGACATCAGTGGTATGGAGACCAGGAAATGTTAGTCAGTTGCTAGGGGTCGGGATGGTGCAGGGAGGAGAGGTCTGTCAGTATTGCCATAGAGAGGTAAGCCTGGAGGTGAGACCTGACCAGGCAGAGGGAGGATCCTGAGTGACTGCCCAAAGGAGGATAAGAGGTGATTCCCTAGATATGTGGGTCTGGTGTGCAGGGTGAGGGCAAGAGGCACTGTGAGGACACTGAGGGCAGTCTTGTGTATCCTACCTCACAGACAATAATGTCACTCAGAGTTTTATTCTATTTCCCCAAGAGAGTGACATGGCCATATGAGTAATTTAGAAAAATCCCACAGGCAGTTAATGTGGAGCCAAGAGAGGGGAAGCTTGGGGGCAGGTGAACTGTTAACAATTACTAACAGTCTGGGCAGTAGTGGGGACCAGAGCTCAGAAACAGTAGGAAGGAAGAGCAGGGAGACAAAATCTGCAGGACTTGCTGAACTGGTGTGCATGGCAGGTGAAAGGAGTCAGGTTTGTGCTGCTGATGACTGGCTAAGACGGAGGTGCCCATCACCACTATGAGAGAGACTCAAGGAGAAACCTGTTTGGGGCTGGCGGGGAGGATGGTTCCTATCTAGGTTGTGCACTGCTGACATGCCCAAGAATTAAGTATGGAGGTGACAGTGGTGGTCTCTTGGAAGAGGGTTTTTTTTGTTTTTGTTACTTTTCTTTTTTTTTTTGTAGTACTGGGGTTTGATTCCAGGGCCCTGTGCTTATTAAGCAAGTGCTCTGTCACTTGAGCCATACCTCCAGCACCAGATGTCTCTGTGGAAGCCTGGAATTCTGCAAGTAGGGGAGCATATTCAGACAAGGTACAAGAGCTACTGGCTTGAACACAGTCATAATCATGCAGGCAGGAAGGGAGGCTGTGAATGAGCAACTAGAGCACAGGAGGGTCTGTCACAGGTGAGGTGGTGTCACAAAATCAAGGGGAGGGGTCTGTCAGTGGTGACAAATGCTATACAAAGGTCATATGTAATTTATCAATTCACCTGGCACTGTGCTAGGCACTAAGAGTACAAAGTCTCAGTTCACAAGACTGGGACCAAGGAATCCACTGAGTTTGGCAAACCTAACCAATTCTGGACTTGTTTATTCACTGCCTGTCTTCCTGCACTTGGGTGTGAGTTCCACAGGGCAGGCACTGCTGCTGGTTTTGTTTATTGTGCCACCCCTTGCAGATAGAATACTTCTTGGTACAGTGTTAGTGCTTACAAATATTTCTTGAATGAAAAGAATGCACTGGATGTCTTTGGTGACCTCTCCAGAGCTGTTCAGTGAGATGAAGAGGCAGGAGGCTGGTTCAGAGGACAGGGAGCCAGTGGAAGGTGGAGAAGTAGAAATGGAGATGACCCGAGAAAGGAAGAGGAATAGAATGGTGGCTAGAAAGGAATACAAAGTTCAGAAAAGGCTACTATTTTCCTACAATGATAAATATTTGAGCACATTTTCTAGTGGGGAGAAATAAGGAAAAACAGGTTGAGGGGCTGGTGGGGTGGCTCAAGTGGTAGAGTGTCTGCCTAGCAAGCATGAGGCACTGAGTTCGAACCCCAGTACCCCCTCCACACACACAAAATTGTTCAAAAAACAGGTTGAAAATATGAGAAGACAGAAATAACAGAATAAGGTCTCTGTAAAAAGGGAATTAGGAGTAAGGAGAAGGACAGATGGGCTTTGAACGAAAAAGTTTCCTCCTTCAGGGCAGAAGGGTGCCACCATGCATACCCACAGCTACAGCTTTAAGAAATTTTTTTTGTGGGACTCCAGTGATAGCATCTGGACTCTCCCTCAAGTGAAATTCCCATTCTCCTTTGTGCTTCTACTCCAGAGACAAGTGCGCAGCCCCCTCCGTACACTGCTGCATTTAACACAGTGCACAAGAGGGGATCTGATGCCAGAATGTATGAGTTCAAATCCTGCCTCTGCTATGTATAGCTATGTGACCTTGGGAAGTCACCTAACTGCTTCTTGCCTCTGTTTCCACACCTTTCTACTAAGCTATTAAGAGATCAGAGCTCACGGAGGGAAAAGGGTAGCTTTAGTAAAAGGTCCAGAACAGTAACTGGTAGAGTAAAAAAGTTCTCAAAGAAGCACTATCATTATGGCAGTCACTGTACTTTTTTTGTGTGGAGGTCTTTGCCAACTGGATGTAACTCTATGCAAGCAAGACTCGTAGCTTATGTCAGTTCTGTACCCCTGGCACATGTGCACAGTGCTTGGCACAGAGAAGGCCTCAACACCTGTGTGTGTGGTGGGTCTGTGAAACTGCCTTGCTCAGTTCAGGAGTCTCATTCTCTTATGCCACTCTCCCCCTCCTTCTGAATTTAGCGAGACCAGCCCACCTTGGCAGGGTCAGATCCCTTGTTCTTTTTCCTAGATGGTTTCTACATCGCAGTATGGTGACTATCGTGGTATTTTATTTCAGAGATGAGAGGAAAGTTAGAAATTAACAAGCCTAACTGCTTCATTGCATAGATGAGAAAATGAGGCCTCCAGGGTTTAAATGCTTTACCCATGTGAGATAATAACAACCAGTCCTAGAACTTCCTATTCTAGAAAGTACACTGGTGAGGCCGTGTTGGAGTCAGTGTGTCTTATTTTTTTAAAACACAAATCTGATGTGTCATTCGCTACAGAACAAATTCCCAACTCTTCCACATCCAGCAGCATCAAGCTGCCCTGATCCTACAAAACTCAGGCCCATTTATGACACATTACTTTCCTGTTCTTTCTACCTGGAGCTCCTGCCTGTCTGGGTCACACCTCATAGCAGGTTGTAAAGTCTACACAACTCCACAGCCTGGTTTTATCTTCTATGCTATGCTGTTTTCATGACAAGTAACAGTATCTCAGATTGGTATTTCTAGTTCTTCAACCTACCAAGATCAAACTTACAATTTTCCTAACCTTTCTATGTCTTACCAAGGCATAACCAATACCTACGTTACGGGCACATCTTTATACTGTGGTTGCTGTGGTACATTACTTCCTTCCAAGGGAATCTGAGTCACTGTGGGCATGGACTTGTTTACCAGCACTTGTTTGTTTTCTACTTTCTCACCTAAGGAAAGGAAAAAGAGTATTTGATATATCATTACCATCTGTAGAATGCAAAGATTGCTTGACTGTAAAACTATGTGGTTAGACTTGAAATCCAGATAGGAAAGAATGAAATGGGTCCACGCAGTGGGAACAAAGCTCATGTGTAATTTTGTAAGCCATTTTTAAGAATCATGGACTAAGACCATAATGTGAATAAAATTAAGAAACTTATTTAGGAGACTACATTAACAAGAGAAATGTCATCTCAGTCAAGCAATTTTATACACCTCTTAGGGTATTTGGACAGGTTTGGACTACTTTATAATTATTTCAAACAGTTATAAGTTACTACCAACCTAACTTGGACAATGAGGAAATCAAAACATTGTTCGGTTTTGCTTTGCTGGTACTCCCATTTCCGCTTTGCATCTATTCATGGTAAGCTCAAAGACTACCTACCTACCATACTTACTTTTCAAGCCACCCTAACCAGTGTTAAGGGTGAGAGAAATTTTCTAGGAAATAAAGGCAGAGAGAATGGGGGGAAGTTGTGTAAGTGTGTCTTGGGGAACCACAGATCAATATATTACTGACCACCCCAGGACCGACCATAATAAGGTATGTGCACGGTGCCTGATCTGCTGACAGAGTGCTTGGTTGGTCTCTCCTTTATTCTGGTGCCCTTCTCAAACCCTGTTTCCACACTTCAGTCAAAATGATCTTTTCAAAACATATACCTAATCACGTCATCACTTTAGGGATCACAATAAAAATAAGCTAAGGCTGTGATGTCTTGCCTAGGCTAGACCCACTGCACCCTCCCTTCCTCCTTTTCTCCAGACAAGACCCTGTGCTCCTGGAAGTCTCTTCCTCTCTTAGGCGTTAACCCTCACCCGCTCTCCAGATCTCAGCCCCTTTCCCTGCAGATGGCCATCCTGAGCTTCCTAAGCAGGCCGGATCCTCCTGCCACAATGGCGTAATGGCTACCCACATGTTTCTTAAGTTGGGTGCAATCTGAAGTATGTTTATGTGCGATCCTTCGATTAAAGTCAGCCTCCCCACTAGTCTGTAAGACCCATGGGGTGTGGGGGGGAGCTGTGTGTTGCATCAATAAATTCATTACAAGTTTGTAATTATAACGGAGCCACACCCTGTAGAGAAAGAAGATTCTAAAGTCAGTCTGTAAGCAAAATCCATAAATTAAGAAATAGTATAGATTCAGGGACAAGATCCTATTCTGATCATTTCCTTAAAATTTGGCTTTTCTATGATTGAAAATTGTAATTAGAATAGATTATTGATATGTAAAAAAATAATGTACAGCAAAACTGACTGGAAGGGAATTCACTGAAAAGGACTTCAATGGTTGAGTCTAGACTGCGGTATAGTAAGTTGCTGTTTCTTTCTGCCCTACTTACCAAATATACAGAAATGAAGTTGGTTAACTTTCATTTCTAAAAGTATACATTAAAGTTTCTTATTTCTTTAAAATTTATTAGTTTTTAAAAGGCTTTTACCTGGAGAACAAATACCATCAGCATCTAAAATTTCATGTCGCCAGATGGGTTTCCTCGTAGCGGCATCCAACACGGGCCCCATCACTTTATCGAAAGTCTGATTGGTGTATCGTTTCAGTGTACATTTAGCATTTTTATATACAAGGCAACGGCCAAAGCCTAAAATGAAACCGAAATTGGTCAAAACTACTAGTAGTTCAAAATACATAATATGAAACTATGAAGAAACATGGATTTGTGCTATTGACAATCCACTGTATTTCACCCTCCCTCAAACCCCCAAACTGTCCTACAATTAGATAATCTAGGGCTGACACAGTCCTGCCAAGTCCTGATACGTGGCTAACCAAGTATCAACCTGTTAACCTGGAGAAATGGCTTAAGGCCCCTCCCCTGTCAACTGTCCATACAAACACAGGCATCTCCACTTTTTTCCAGCAGGAAATCCACAGGCCATACTGGAGCAGTGTAAGAGAAATCTCAGAGTGACACAGAGCCACAAATTAGCATTGGAAAGGGCCTTAGAAATCACCTGCACAGCCCTTCTTTTTCACAGGCACTCTGAGTGAGGTCCAAAGATATTAAGCAGCCACAGACACCCAGCAAGTTGGGAGCTAAGCTGAGAAAAGACCAGGCCCAACCCCTTAGCCAGGATCGTTGGTGCGAAACTTCTGGTGTATAACTTCTGCTAAGTTTCCTTGGAAAATTTTCTCTGATTTTGGCATTTATGGGCAGTCACAAATAAGCAAGCAAACAAATACTTTTTTCTTCCAGAGAAGAAAGAGAATAAAAGGAACACACAATCAAATGATTTTAGTGGGAGAGATAGTTCATCTCTGTCCTGAAGTTTAATTAATTCTTTCAGATTGCATCTATCTGATGGATGAGGGAAAAGCCTGAGACCAACATTAAAAAAAAAAAAAAAAAAAAAAAAAGCAAAATGGACAGAAGAAAAACCTTTAGAGGGGGGAAATGCTCAACTATGGAATACCTCAAAAACAAAACATGACAACAATCTGTCAATTGTGGAGTTCCTCAAAAGAGCAGTCGATCATTCCTTCAACACTAAATATAATTTCCAAGACTCTGTGGCTTGGAAAAGTAGTTATGCTGAACTGGATTCCCTCTTTAATCTCCTTAGGATAGACTGAGCCAGGTCAAAATTCATTTAGCAGGAAAATATCTCAGGATTAAATGCCAGTGATTACTAATGAAACAAATATATGGCTGTGAAACCCTTAATTACGATTCTCCAACAAAGTGGAACTTTTTCAAGTAATCTGAGTATGTGAGTTTAAAAAATATCAATCAGGTAAAAGTGGATTTCTAAATAAAATTTCAGTAGTCTAATGTAATTGTTTTAATTTGAAGTGACTGTGGGATGAAATAAATTTCTACAACTAGACAGCAGATAAGGATATCTGTATGTCTTTTAGCAAGTCTTTGTCATCATGGCTCCTAGTAATCTGTGTGTCACTATAATAAATTCTGCTCAGATAGCCAGCTAGTTTGGAAACATAATATGATCTTGAAATGTCATACAACAGCCAGTAAATGCAACACGCTAGAGTACAGTGAGAATCTGAACTGCATAACAGAGAAGTGTTTTCTTCTAAGTGCAAATGGACATTTTATTTACAGGTGGTAGTTTAAAAGCTAGAGGCCATTAAATTGTGTTGCAGTTTCTGACAGACATCACATAGTCTTCAGATTTCCACATAAATGTTACCAGTTAATCAGAAAGGAAAACATCTAGTTTTAAAGTATGGCTGTTTTCATTTGAAGGGAAAAAAAAAAAAGAGGCATAAATTAGTGCAGCCAACATTGATGCCAAGGACACATGTCTAGAAGTACTATTATGGCTGCCTAGCAACTAGAAAGAGGGAAGGGGAAGGCATAGTGGGCATGCCAGGGAGGAAAAAGAGAAACAGAGATTATGAATAGAAAAGTCAGCTTGCAGATCAGGCAACAGCTAGCACATCATGAAGTGGTGGCCTACAAAAGTAAACTGTCATAAAATGGAGAAAGAAAAGCATGACACAACTACATGAGGGTTTGCATAGGTGCATTTTTAACTTTTGTCACTTGGTTAAAAAATACATATACCGGGTGAATTCAAATATGATATATTTGACACATTGTAAGAACATATGTAAATGCCATAATGCACAACGATAAAGGGAAAAAAATTACACAATATATATACACTAGATTATGGGGCTAAGACGTACAATAAGTAATTAGCCTTTCCATCTGGGGGGCAAATGCCCTCTCAAGCAGGTTTGTTCTTGAATATGTTATTCAAAATATATTTTTAATATATTCAAAATACTTATTTTATATATGGTATCCTGGTGGAAAATAAACAAATTCCTGTATGTATTCTTTTTGAAAAACTATCTCAAGTCACCAATAAAAGAAAAAGTTATCACCAAAACACAACTGTCCTGTTTATATATTGTAAATCTGAAATCATTTAAAATTTGACATTATCATTTTGATACCAAGTGATTTTTAAATTAATCAACCTGAAAAAGCACTTTTGGTATTAGAGCCTTGAAAATTCGCTTACCTCTGTCCAAGGAGGCCTTGTTTAAAACAAGAGCGTCTTCAATATCATAGCCACTGTAACTCATCACAGCCACAGTCGCATTCTGTCCAGCTGGCAACTTCTCAAACTCAATCAACTCAATGGTTTTTGTTTTAACCATGGGTTTTTGTGGGTAGGCTAGTAGATACATGAGAGTATCAATTCTGTTTCGCTGGTTGTATCCAATGGTACCTTCAATGATATTGAAGAAAACAAAATGCAAAATTCTAATTGTATGAAACAATTAGGTAGCAACCAAAACAGATAAAGCACATTAACTTTTAATTAAAATAAAGAAAAATTTCAGGCCAAACATTTCAAGAGCAATACCCACATGGTGGCTACTTTTTTTTTTTTTTTAAAGCCATTTTCTTCTAATGTTTAAAATTCTACGAATTATTATCAGGGTATACCAATCTAAATAGTTTTAACTTTTTGGACTTATATAATTGATCCTGACAATTTCTGTTGTCACTGCTTAATTTCATAAGTATGTCCACAAATCTTTATTCTATTCCAGGCCCATTTCTAGTTGCTGGGAAGAGGTGATGGGAGAACAACTTCCAGTATCCATGGGTGAAAAACTTACAAGGTGGGACAAAAGATATAGCTCAAGCGATAGAGCACCTGCCTAGCACAGGTGTGAAGCAGTGAATTCAAACCCTAGTATCTCCCTACACCGCCCCCCCCAAAAAAAAACCCCATCATATTCGGTATGAAAAAGAAAATGGGAGAGAAGAGAAGAAAGAAGAATTCAAGTGAAGGCTAAGAAGAATAGATTTGTTCATTTGTTTATTCTTTTTCTAGGCAGTTAGTAAACATCTCCCCTGTACTAAACAGTGGAGACAAATGGAGAGAGGCAAGGTCCCCTCTGCTAAGGAAGCTAAGGTTTGGTCCAACCAGAATGGCTCTTTCCTCCTCAGCAATCAGCCTTTCCACCTGATGGGTCCTTGGAAAGGTGGTACTGGGTTGCTGTCAACTGGAAATCAAATCAGAAGGTTAACCCTTCCTCTCTTGTCCCATTAGAAACAGACTGGGATCCATGGGCTGCTTGAAGAAAAGTCTTCCAGCTTGTGGACATACAGTTGATCCCATGTAGACTTAAAATTGGGAAACTCAGGCCTGCCTGACTGTTGAGGTTGTATGGGGACTATCAAGCCTCTTTAGCTTCTCCTGGGTATCTGTTTTCTCCCCATAAGCACAGAGGAGTTAAGAATAGACATTAGCATTAGGAGGAAGAAGGCAGCCTTGTCTCTCTTGTGCATAGGCCTCCATCGTGACTCAGGCACCCACAAACCCTAGGGTAGCTATGTGCCACTTAACGGAGTTACAGCCTAGGATAAACAGATACTAAAGCTCTATTTCCCTTAAATTCTCCATATTTATATTAATAAATCAATGTTGGTCTCAACTGAATAGCTAAAAATTATTCAACCAACAAAGATGATATGGTACTCTTTTTGACAATTACTATTGAAAGCGGTAATAAAATCTGTGGGATATACCACAGAAATTCACCTAGAACAGAACCGAGCTCATTATAATGCTCAATAAATGTCATTATACTTTTAATGACAGCAAGTATTTTTGCCTAAATTTCTAGAAAAGTTACCAAGATTCAGTAGAAAAACAGGTAAACTGAACCTTATAAACTTTTTGTTGAGTCTGCATGATAAACTGCCAACTAAGTTATGTTATTTTAGTTCCAACTAATAAACTGGATGTGATACCTGGCAATAGATCACTTACTGCTTTAAAATAAGATTACTGCTGCTCAGATCGTGGTGAAGTTCACTGACAAGTTTGTCCTTTTTCATGAAATTCTTTAAAATTTATGTTGCAATTTAGCTCCAATTGTGTATCTTACCCAGCTTGAGACTAGGTTCTGGCAACGTCCCACCAGGCTGCCAAACGCATCTTGTGGAAGTTGAGACAAGCATTATCATGCAACAGGGGAGCATAAATGGCTGTGCCTCTGAACGAGGGCCAAAGGCCTGGATCCTCCTATAAACCGTGCTACCAGGCCCACAACACAATTCTTGGGCATTACGACTGACCACAAAGTGAGGGAAGAGTAAAATTGTTTAGCACATGATTGGGCTTATGATCTCATCAGCAATTTTTCTTTAAACACTTTTTAAAGAACTTATCCTGTGGGAGCATTCATGTCTACACATTTTTAGCAGCACAATGGGTGTCTATATTAAAGTATGATTTATAAACTATGATTTCTGTATCACAGAACTTTAAAAAGTTATCAGATCCTGCACTTTTATAAAAACATGAATGGTTGATTATTTTGCTAATAAGCAATTTCTTGAGAACATGTCATAAGAAATTAAATTTTAAGGCTTGCCTACGCAAAGCACATGCTCAACCTAGAAGGCTCTCACTATGTTCAGTTTCCTTAAAAAGGGCTCACATACGTATAAAATAATAAACACAGTGAGAATATCTGTATGCTACTCCTATTGCCCGATTCCCTGTAACTAGTATGCAGTAACTTCCTTTTCTTACTACTCAGGACATAATCTTTCTTACAAAGCCATATTTTCTTGATAACTTTCTTAAGTCAGAAACTGGCATGGCTAATCATTGTTGTATGTAATCATTATAAAGCAGTTGACTTCCTCCACTCAAAGGGTACAAACTGATGGGTCCTGACAGACACACCCCTGGGAAAACATTGCTACAACCAAGACCCAGAGCATTTCTAACACCTCCCAAAGAGGTTTTCATCTGTCTGGGTCTTAGTAAACCACTGATTGTGTTTTTTCTCTTTGTTTGATTTTTGGTGGGACTGGAGTTTGAACTCTGGGCTTCATGTTTGCTAGGCAGGCACTCTACTGCTTGAGGCATACCTCCAGCCCTTTTTTGCGCTGGTTATTTTGAAGATAGGATCTTGCTTTTGGTCAGGACCAGCCTGGACAACAATCCTATTTTACGCTTCCCGCTGTAGTTGGGATGACAGGTGCCCACCATCATGCCCATTTTTTTTCCAATGAGATGGGGTCTCCTAAGTCTTTTTGCCTGGAGTGCCCCGGAACCATGACCCTCTCAATCTCAACCTCCCACTTAGCTTGGGATGACAAGCCTCCAGGCCCAGCTATTGGTTGAGATGGCCAACTGCACTAGCTGGCCTCAAACTGTGATCATCTGGATCTCAGTCTCCCAAGTAGCTAAGAGTGCAGGTACAAACACAGGTGCTGGCTTCCATTAATCATATCTTTCATCACAATATATTAGCTTGCATTTTCTATAATTTTATATAAATTCAGTCATATATACACGCATGATTTATTTCATTTAGCATAATGATTCTGAGGTTCATCCACATGGTTATGTGTATCAAAGGTTGCTCCTTTTTATTGACGAGTAGGAGTCTATTGTATGAATATACATTTTGTTTCTCCACTCATTTGTTTTTGGTTTTAAAGGTGCTATACACATTCACGAGCCAAATCTCTGTGTGTTTTCATTTCTTTGGGTAAATACCCAGGAGTGATATTTCTGGGTTGTTTGGTAAGGTATGATTAACATTAAGGAAATGTCAAGGTATTTTCCAGAGTGATTATACCATTTTCCACTCCCACTAGCAATGCATGAGCCCTTTGGTCACTCTGCATCCTCATTGACATTTAATTCGCCAGTCTCTTTAATTTTAATCATTCTAATATGTGTGCAGTAGTATCTCACAGTACTTAAAATTTGAATTTAGGACAACTAATACTGTTAAACACAGTTTGACATATGTATTTATGGGTCATTCCTATTACTTTGTAAAGTGTCTCATTTTTTGTTGTTTTGCCTATCTCTTAATTGGGTTGTCTTATTACAGAAGAGTTCTTTACATTTACTAGATACATACAAATCACAAATACTTTCTCCCATTCTGTTGCTTGCATTTTCATATTCCTAACAGTGTCTTTCAAAGAGCAAAGTTTTAGTTTCAAGACATTCCAGTTTATTATTTTTTCCTTCTTACAGTCTGTACTTGTGTATCCTAAGAAATCTTAATCTAACTCAAGTTGTGAAGATTTTCCACTGATGTGTCCTTCTTCAAGTTTTATAGTTTCAGCTTTTACATTTAGGGATATGATCAATTTTGTGTTAATTTTATGTGGTATGAATTCATGCTCATTTTTTCCCCTATAGATATACAAAGATTTTATTTTATTGAAGACTTTCCTTTCCCCAGTTAACTGCTATGACACTTTCATTGAAAACCAATTGGCCATAAATGTATGGGTCTCTTTCTGGAGTGTGTGTGTGTGCTGGGGATCAAACTCAGCACCTTGAGTATACTAGGCAAGTACACCACCACTGAGCTATATCCCCAGCCCCAGGACTCTTAATTCTGTCCCACTCAACTATACTTTTGCCCTTTTGTTAATATCATACGTGTATTACTGTAGTTTTACAGAAAGTCAAAAATCAGGTTGTAGAACTACTCCAACTCACTCTTTGGTTCAAAATTGTTCCAGAAAATTTGCTCCTGATTGCTTAACAATTTTTATATACTCAAAGTTTCATTACCTCATTTTGAAACATTCATTAAGTCTTAAGCTATGCTAGGCACAAGGATACAGTAATAAGACAGTCCCTGTCTTCAAGGAGTTTATCAGGATATAATACCTGTATACATGGAAATGCCATAATGAAATTCTCTGTATAGATATCTTAAACAAAATGTCTTTTTTCTAAAATGGAGTATAGGAAGGTAAACAGGTCTTGTCTGGTAATTGGTACCAGTGGGAGGGGGGACAACATAAAGAAAGGGTGTAGAACGGTGAATATGGTAGAACTATGTACTTATGTATGAAAATGGAAAAACGAGACCTAATGAAAGTATTCTAAGAATGGTGGGAAGGATAAATGATGGAGGTTGGTGAACTTAACTAAGACATATTATAAACACTTCTGTAAATGTCACAATGTACCCACAGTACAACATGATTATAAAAAATGAGTGAATAAATAAAAAGGAACATATACTCTATAGTCTAGCAGGGAAGGCAGACTAGAGAGGTTAGTTTTAGCTGAGCAGCCTCCAGTAAATTTTATAGCTAATATTACATAGAAGACATAATGTAACCTTTTATAAGTCATTCAACGAAACTTGGATTTAGCTTCCTTGTCAGAAAAAAATGTGCATTATATCTTACAGAACTGTTGTGATTAAAAGAAAATGGATGCAAGAATTGGGGGCTTGGGAATGTAGCTAAGTGGCAGAGAACACGCTTAGCATGCATGAGGCCTGGGTTAATGCCCAGTGTTACCACACTCCCTTAAAAAAAAAAGAATTTGGGCACTCAGTAAGTGGCAACATTCATTATAACCAATATTAACAATATTGGTAGTAGATATAATAATAAAAATATATATCCCATTACTTTGCAGTATCACCCACTCTACTTCCAATTCTAACCTACAAACTAAACTTTAATTTTACCTTCATTAGTATTCTATTCTTATAAAACACTGCGTAAGCTTATATCTAAAATAGCTACAATAATAAAAACATTAACAGGATTCTAAACAGAATTCCTATGGATAATTTGGCCATGATACTTTTTTTCATTTTGTACTCCCAAACAAAAATTAAATATGCTAAAACAAAGTGGGGTGGAGGTGTAGAATGAAACAAAATTTTATGAGGATCTTTGTATAACATGTATTTTGAACATTTCCAGGACATTCCATCTTGCTTTAAAGTGCAGAACACAAGAGGAGAAACTGTCTTCTTAGGAACAGAATCCACTGAAAACAAAAACAGAGGATGAATTAGCTCCTGAGTTTAAAAAAACAAGTTCCAGCAATTTGGAGTGGAAGGGGGAAGGGCTGGTAAGAAACTGTGCTGGGGGATGGAGGAAGGCCATGATGCATATTCATTAACTGAGCTGATAGTGACTGAGTGATCCTTTTAAGCAGGAGAAAGTGTTCCCCTACAGGATTGCCAACTAATAAAATAGACAGGATATGAAGGTGTGACTTGTGTGAATTCGCACTGGTGCCACGAAGAGTCCACACAGTGCAGCTCCAACACACAGCTTTTGCTCCTAGTGCTAAGTGACCTGGAGACCTTGCATTTCCAGATGTCTACCTGACTTCTTTCTCTGAGCCAAGTTACTACCACAGAGCCATATCCACGGAAGAGAAGAGTTTCTCAGTAGCACAGAGATGCTGTGTGGAAACCTGAACTTTATTAATAGCGTAATGTGAGTAAAACTTGAGAAACACCCTCTGCTGGTGTTTATGCTAGATTAGCTCTCTCTTATATATGAGGTAAGGCTTTCAGCTTCTGTGATCTGTGCTAGTCTTGGTCTCCGTGATATTGATAGAAAATGACTTACCACTTTACTCTCTTGGTGGGAGGGGAGGTGATATTGAAGGAATAAGGGCTGCTATGCAGCAAATTTTCCCAATTGGCTAGAATATTTAGTCACAGTTCTGGGGTACTGTCTTTCACTTTCTACACAGACTGACAAAGAAACAGCAATTAAAATATGACTTTAGAAAGTCTGCACAGAATGTGAAATTTAATGCCTATTTAAAATGAGAGAGTGTGACTTTTAATTATCAGCTGTCATGGCTGCACGGGGTTCAAATGATCCAGGGAGTCTTACTCAAAACGCTAGGTCTGCTGTACAGACCTGGGTCTCTGCAGTGAGTTTTCTCCCTCTACCAACTTTTTTTGCCCCACCTTTGTGATTTTTCATATGGACCATGCTCAATACTTCTGCAGCAATTTCAGTGTGCAGAGAGAATGTGGCTATGCCATGTGTCCACTTCAAACGTACTTCCCTCCACACTTTTCTTTCCAGTCAGGTGTTTTATAATAACAAACAGTAACAAAGGCAGTTTTTATTACTTAAGATATTCAGTGGCTTTTGTCTTGCAAGCGTCAGCAGTAACGTCAGAGGATTGTATCCAAGGAGCTAAATGTGCAGGACCCAGGGTCAGAGCAGCTGAATACACCAACCTCAGAAAACACAGACAATGAATTGCAAATGACACTCACAACAAAACGAGGAAAAAAACCTTCACACAGAAAACTACAAAAGAACTCTACAGACACTGAATTGGCTTTCTGTACACACTGATCCTGCTTAACTGTGTGTGGTAACTAACCCAACACTTCAGATACTAAGGGCCACAAAATAAAGGTTGCTTTTTTTTTGGTGGATGTTACAAAAATAAAAATGTTATTTCTTTCCTTTAATACTACAACCTAAACCGAAAAAAAAAAAGCTTCACTGAGTGGAGACAGCCGCAGCTCTTCTGTTTTAATCTTCAAACACATAAAGAGTGGCATTAGCGATGAAGCGATTAGTCTTCCGTTAATTCTGCTGAAGGTTCTACACAAAAGGTGTATTGTTTCAGCTGGGATTCACATCAGGAAACAAAATGCTTTGGTAAACCCAATAGAAGTGATAGCCCTTTCATGACACGCAAGGTTCAGCACTGTATATTTCAACTTGTTAGCGAGTCAGAAGCACAAGCAGGACATCAGCCTACGCTGCCGCTAAGGATGAATGGGAAAGGCGAAATTGATGAGCCACCGTTTAGATTTTCCCATTGGGAATTATTCCCAACTGTTCAGGCTTTACATCATTCAGGTAAATGGAGCAGGACAACACGCTTTTTATTTCTTCCTAGCCAAAGGGCAACATAAAAACTTGAGAAGAAATCGTATGCTCTGCCTACACTGAAGAAGTAGGATTCCTTTAATGGTCAAGCCATGCCCAGTTGCAGCTGGTTGTTGGTAACTGAGAGGCAATGCAAAAACCTTCCCCTCCATAGGAGGTTTTACAACTTCTTTATGAGGCTCTGTAAGAGCACTTAAAATTGGAGATGACAAGTCATGTTGATGTCACAGGCATAAATAAAAGAAAATTTATTAGAATTTAAAAAAATTTTGCAAAGGTTTATAAGCAAAACTTGTGGTGGTTTTTTTTTGGGGGTGGGAGGGGCTAGAATTCTCACTGTATTAACTTCAGGGCAAAAGTCAAACTCTTCTCTACCACACATGTATACCCATACTGTACTAAATAGCCACACCAAAGTACTAGGACTTTCCCATGAAATGCTAGCTAGATCTTCCTCCTCTGATTTCCTTAGATCCTGGCTGGTGGCCTTTTATAGCAGGTATCATCCTAGAGGGAACTGCTGTTTTATTTCTTGACTTCTATTAGACTGTGACTTCTTAAGCACAGGGCTCTGCCTCATCTTTGTTTTTAGGCTCCATTCCATTACCTGTTCGACAGTCTTACTTAATAAAGGCTAAGTATGGATGGATGGATAAACTGATAGATGGACAGATGAAAGGCAAGAAAAATAAAGGAGAAAGGAAAATTAACACAGAAATTGGTGTAAAAAGTTTCAGAAGCTAACGCTAGCAAGAAGGATACAATGGGTTCATGACTGTCACCCAGACAACTCCAAGTATACCCTAATACACAATGTATATCTTTACCTTGATTGTTTTTCCCCCTCCTCCTTTCATCCCTGAGCTTCTCTGCTTTTTTTTCCCCCAACTCTCCTGGCTAATAACTATCATTTTGTAGAGCTTTGCTCTTTATATCTACTCCCTCATCATTCCGTGATATTTATTACACACTGCTTTGTTTGATCAAGTCAAGAGGGGTTTTCTGTATTTTCGTTTAAACTGTTGACAGGATAGGGGCCCCTGCAAGCTTTGCTTTGAGCTTCGCAACACTCAGGTATGACCGACATCTGATTTGCCCAAAAATGTAACACCAGTGAAGAATCAAGATATTACCTCTTACTCCAAGTATTTAGAACTGAGTTTGAGAAGGCAATCTTACCCATGGCTTGTTTGCCCATGGCACACTGGTAGGTGTTTCTTGGAGACTGGTTATGATGAGGGTATGGGATCAGGCCAGCACAGACACCGAGAAGAGTGAAGGGTTCGATCTCCAAGTGCGTGGTATCTCTAGCAAGTTAATTAAGAATTAGACATCTTAGGACTCAGGTATTAAAATCAATGTCTCTTAAAAGGTATAAAATATATTACCTATGTTCCCAAGGGGGACAATAAACTGATGCTACTAAAACTGGTAAAAATAAAAACATGTCTAAATAAAATGTTGTAGAAGATAGGAATTTAAAACTTTTTAGTGATAGAAATTTTTATTAGTGATAGAAACACAAGAGAAAGGAGACCGTATAGAATTGCTTATGTAGAAAATAAAGCATTATTGTAATATACACTGCTTATGTAACACATAAAAAAATTACTTTATTGAATACAGAAACACAGTATTCATGATTTCCATGTGGATGAGTAGCCTGCTGTTCCATTTTCTTCCAAGTTACATCAATGAGAAGGCTACGTCACTATTTTAGGACAGGAATATACCCCTCTACAGAGACTTATGGTGACCCATGGGGACCTGTGTGGTAGCCACAAGCTAACTGTGACTATTTAGCATGGAAATGCTAGGCAACTGTGACAGAAGAGGTGAATTTTAAAATTTAAAGTTATTTAAAATAAGTTTAAACCAAACAACTCAGTTTATTACTTAAAACCTTTATGTTTGAAACAACTTACATTTGTCAATCTTTTCAAATGTAAATTAAATCAGACTTTCTGATGAAATCTATAAGTGCATTTGAAGACTAGTAGTAGGAAAAAATATTGATTACATGTTGAGATGATAGTTTGGATATACTGGATTAAATAAAGTTATTACAATGAATTTTGCCTGTGTCATTTTACTTTTATGATGTGGCTACTACGAGACTTGCACTTGTATTGGTGGCATGCATTATATTTTTATTGAACAGCTCTGCTCTATGTATTGGACGAGTAGGAGTCAGAATCTTGGGTATTTTCATAATATATTTCTGTGGAAAGCAGTTTTGGGCTAAATGATAGGGCAAATGAGATGTTTTAGTGGGAAAGAGCAGCCAGTTATTTCCGATCTTTGCTGAAAGCAGCAGGTATCACATTCGGGATCCATGATCTCAGTGCTGCCCCGTCCTGACTTGAAGTGTTTGTGAACAGCAATCGTAACAATTCCAGTGCTTTACGGTGCCGGTGGAGAGTGGTGTCTAAGGAACTGGATCATTAGACCTGATGAAAGATCTCCCATATATTTATTTTTTGGCAGTACTCAAGTTTGAACTCGGCCTCACACTTGCTAGCAAGTGTTCTACCACTTGAACCATGCCTCCAGCCCTTTTGTATTTTATTTTTCTGGTAGGGTCTTGTGTTTTTGTCCAGGCTGGCCGGGACTTTGAACCTCCTACCTATGCCTCCTGTGTAGCTGGGATTTACAAGTGTGAACTATAACACCTGGCTTATTTGTTGAGATGGGAGTCTTGCTAATTTTTTGCCAAGACTGGCTTTGAACCACAATCCTTCCAATCTCTGCCTCCCAAGTAGTCTGAATTACAGGTGTGAGCCACTACTGCTACTTTCCCCCCCAATACAAGTACTGAATTTTGTCATTAGTTTGGTGAAAGAGGCTCTTGGTTAGAAGAATATCTTTAGGAGCTAGCAGAATCCTAATCCTCTCAGACACCTTGGGCCTTTGTCAGCAGGGAGTAAAAGGGTTCTAGGCTTTTTTTTTTTTTTTTCATTCTTTCTTTTTTAAAGCATCAACTTAAAAACTGCACTTTATAGGCTAGAACAGAGTTTGCTTTTAAGTACACTGTTTTGCTTATGTACTGGCCAGGTTGACATCTCCCATGTAAATAAAAACTACTTTTCAAATATAAAGATTGAGTTAACTTGGAAAAAAAGGGAAACTTTTTCCTTTTATTTTAACAGCAGTACATATGAGATCATATTCGATCTAATAAATATTGAACATCTAAATTCTCTGGATTCCAATTTTACAAAAAAGCAGATAAATTATTTCCTTTAAAATCATAAGTTTCTATTCTGAATAGGAATTAAGAGACTTCTCTTCACTGTGCATAGAGCATTTAAATTTACCTGAAGTTAAATATCAAGTAATTTCTTACTTCCAATAGTGGGAAAATTAGAAACAACCCAATCATCAATAGGGAACAAGCAAGATAAACTATATATAAGAAGATAATAGTAAACATCAATTTAAAAAGTTTATATGTATATATACAAATATACATACATGCACTAATATAGAAAATGTCCAGAATACGCTTAAGTTTAAAAATTAAAGACACTGAAAACATGTCATCATTGTTTTATGTACACATGTTGTGTGGCATCACGTAAGTATGTCTGTACTCAGAAAAATATGTAGAAGGATACACATTAAACTATTAATAAGCACTGGCTATTTGTGGAGGATGGAGTCTAGTGGGATGGAGAAGAAAAGGGATTCATTCTTTAAATTTTATGCATTTCTACATCATAAAGAAACTTCTTAAGTATGAATTATCTGTGCCTCATGAAGCTTATAGTGGAGAGACATACCCAGATAAATCAGAAATATATAGACTTTTTCTATGACAACGAGCACTAGAAGAATAAAGCAGTGAAGAGGGCTGGACAGAGACAGGGTTTCCACTTTAAAATAGGGTGATCAGGAAAAGATTCACCAGAAAGTGACCCTGAGTGTAGACCTGAGAAGCAGGGAATCATGTGGGTGTGACAGAGGCCATGGTAGGCAGCAAAGGCACTGAGGCAGATGTGTGCTAGCAGTGTTTCAAGGAGTGGCAAGGGTAGCTGAAACTGTGTGTGAGGGGAGGCGGGAGAGGATGCTGCAGGTAGGAAGCAAGAAAGAGCAGATGGAGTAAGAACCTGGGGGCCTCTGTAAGGACTTCTGAGGGAAATGAAAACCACGGGGGAAGTGAGCAGAGATGTGACGTAAGCATGCTGCTCTACATGAACAGACTGAATGTGGACACATGCAATAGCCAGGAGCCTGCTGCAAGAACCCAGACAAGCCATGGCTATGACCTGGCACGGGTGGAGGAGATGATGAAAAAAGCTCAGATTCTGCTCTATTCTAAGAGCTTGCCTGATAAGCTAAAGAACGGATGTGGATATGGAGAAGGAGACGGTTCAGAGCTGAAACTCAGGATTTTAGCTTGAGATCCATGAAGGCTAAAACAGTTATTCACAGGGCTACAGCAAGGAGCTGGATGAGTGGCTCAAGTGGTAGAGTGCCTGAGGTAGCAAACCTAACAAGTATGAGGCCCTGAGTTCAAATCCCAGTATTACCAAAAAAAAGAAAAAGAAAATTCATAAGGCTACTGCAAAACAGTTCTCTTCTATATTCAACCTTGAAATGAGATATAAAACAGTAATTACAGAGACACACAATCTTAAGGAATAAAAATTCTGACTAAAAAGCATTATTTACCAAATTATAGCACAAAAATAGTAATATATTTCTTCTACTAGGAGACAACTGGTTGTTCCTCGATTTCTCGATTGCAGGTATAAATAGTTATCAAGTAAGAATATTAAATTCCCTATTTAACTGCAAAAACTCCAATTTCAGATAAGTGGTATTAGTTGTATAGATATTCTCTAATGCATTCTAAGTGGAACACAGATGCTTCCAAAATATCACTGTTCTAGAAAAGTAGTATGAACATATTATCATTTCAAGTTTACATTGCACATAAGATTAAAGACATCTTTACAACGTACTATGTAAGGAATTCCTGTACTGACAATAAGAATATAGATGTCCACTGATAAAAAAAGCTTCTCCAGAAAACACATTTTATGTAGCCTGATTTTTATGTAACTTGTTCAATTTTCACAATAACTGGATATTAAAATCGAGAAACAATTCCTTTTTAAAAGTATACACAAGTATCACATGAATAGAAAGAATAATTAAATTTAAAGATGACTTGTTAGCAATCTTATGATACTTTCAATTGGAATAAATAATAGGTATGTTTCATTATAAAAGTGTATTTCTAACAATTCTTTATTACAAGAATACAAAACTGAAGAATCAAAGAGGACAAGGAAAAGGGAAGATAGTTTCTATAGTGAGAGCAGGTTGTAATTATGGTTGTACGGATCCAACTTACTTATTAATTGTATGTTCGTAAAGTGCAATATTACAATCATTTTCTTCATTCACATCTAAATATTCAACTAGACTTTCATGTAAGAAATCTTCAAAATTCCTGGGAAAATATTGGTAAAAGAGACATTATTAAATAGCATTTTACTGCAATATGTGGAAGATACTGGCTTCGTTTAGGTCCAAATACTTTCTCTCCCAGAAAATACTAATTTATTAGATAACTGAAACCTACTTTTGGATCATAGAGTGATCACAAATCTCTAAAGTAAAAGCATTAAGGTCTCTGATTCTTCTTAATCTATTATTCACTTCTAAAAAGTTAGACTTCAGAAACTCCATATGATGAGAGACAGTGTGTATTATTAATTTACTGGTGTAAGTCCTTTCCTCATTAGAAACATTTAACAGTGTGGTAATTTATACTAAAAATCCGTAAGCCTCATGATCTAACTTGATAAATATTTCACCATGTCCAAGCAACCTCACATGAAGAAGAATGCTTTTTTTAACTAGCTGGCATATTTGATGGGGAGGAATTAAGAGACTGAAAATGAAAATATATTTTTCTTAACAGAATGGATCAAATAATGCTCTATGTGCTCATTAAAATATATGTGCATGTATTTAAGAAGGTTGATAATTTTTACTTTTGGTCATTTACCTGTACCCCTGAGCCAGCTCTTCCATATGCTTATTAGTGACTGCTGGCTTCTGTTTCTTAACAATTATGTAAGGCCTAGAATGGAAAGACAGTAGCAAATTAATAGTAATATCAAAGAAGAATGATAGCAAATTTTACCATAGTGAAATGAGGGAAGATGTAGATGTAAAGTCATTTCTACATCTCTTGAGGACACCGAGGAACTTTTGCATGTGTGTACATGTCGGGAACTACCGTTTCTCACATACACATACACGTGTACACACACACAGTACTTCCTTCAAGTAGCCTAGGAAACGTTTGGTTTTAAATGAAAAGGCAGCACAAAAATGATGCTCTAATAAAGTCTAGAAAGGAAATGAAGCCATGTCATATGTTCAAAGACTGTGTACACGAATCATTCCAGAAGCATTTCCTGACGTCCTATGGGGGATACCTGGTACACAGTAGTCTCCCTTAGTTTCAGTGGTTTTGCTTCCAGTGATTTCATTTATCCAAAGTCAACTGTGGTCTGGAAATATTAAGTGGAAAATTCTAGAAATAAATAATCCTTAAGCTTTAAATTGTGCACACACTGAGTAGTGTGGGGGAAATCTCCTGCCATCTCCATCCTGTATGGGATGTGAATCATCCTTTTGTCAGTGTACCCACACTACATAGGTTACCCATCTGAGAGTCATCTAGTTGCAGTCTCAGTTATCAGATCAAAAAAGCGAAAGAAAAAAAGAAAGAAACCATAAAACCATATATAGGGTTTAGTACTGTGGTTTTTAGGTATCCACTGGGGTTCTGGAATGTACCCCACACATGTAAAGGGGGACTGCTGTAGTACCAATGGAGTTGTCAGGCAAAGAAGTATTCTCACTAAAGATTAATAATGGTACTTCTTGTGAGGGTCTGATGACTATCCAGATGTTTGGGATAGTTTGATTTAGGATAAACATCACTGAGCTGGATTAACAGGTTACTTAAAGCCATACATTAGCAAAAAGAGTGGCTACACGTTTGCAGAGAACAAAGCTTCCTTCCTTTGTGATATGTGGCAATGCATTGTGTGTAAGGTAGAGCGCATTCTGGAAGATTGACCTATAAATGTCAGTGGTGACTTCCTCTGAGGGCTTGGCCACCACAAGGAAACACCCACACAAAGGCTGGCATGCAGCAGGAAAATGTCAAGGGCGGTTGCTATTTGGATAAGCAGCTCTTACAGAGGAAAGCAAGTGACCAGCAGACACTTGTGCACTCCACCAAAAGCAAAGTAACTACGTGAGCACTAATGAGTACTTCCAAACAGCTGAGAAGAGCTGCACAAGACAAAAGGGAAACACAAGTTGCTAAAAAGTGAACTGGGTGAGCTTTTCATGGACATCAACAGTACCTCAAAATCCTGCCCTCTTCTTAGCAGGGAAGCAGCATGACACTGCACCCCATTTGAAGGCTGCAGTAGCTCAGGCTAAAACTCTCAAGTGACAGCAGAAAGGAAGGGGAGGGACTACTTACCCACTAAGTTCTAATATTCTTCCTGCCAGATCTATGGTCTACCATTACAAAACTACTTCTAAGAAATTAGTTTTCTTTTAGAATATGCCTAATTATATTAGATATGAAAGAAGAAAAAAAAAAGTAACCTAGAACATATCATTGCTTTTCCTGCCCCTAATTAGGCCATGCTGATAACAGCTATTAAAAAAGCACCTAATATGTTCCTGGCTCCCTATGAGAATGTATCACAGTTTGCCAATTAATTCTCAGAACAATCCTAGGTAGGCACTTTTATTTTACATTTTATAGCCAAGGAGACCAAGGCTCAGAAACTTATGTAATATATTCAGAATTATACAAGTCAGTAAGTGGCAAGTTAGGGTTCAGACAGGTAAGTCATTTTCAGGTATACCATCAGAGAAACTAATTCCAGTCAATTTAAGCAAAAATGAAATTTAATGGAAGCATTAGGAATTTACTGGAAAACAAAACAAGTCAAAGAAAATGAGGGGAAAAATTATCAGTCTTAGAAGAACAAGAACTAGAGTAGTCACAAGGAACTAAAAAACCAAGAATAAGAGACAATCTTAAACATTTGGCAGGGCCTCTGAAGGACCAGATACTCTGCTGCATTCATTTTTTGTACCGCCAGTGCTGGACAGTACCTATGCAAAAGCCCTTAATAAATATTTGGAGGATGAACAAAAATAGCCTACACTTTTCTGTTGGGTCTAATGTTTTTCTTTTCCTTCAACTCTCCACATTTCCATTCTTGCCTTTCTCCTTTCCCTTACACAGAAGTAACACAACTCTACCAATCTCAGTTTGTAGCCATAAAATGTAGCAGGTAAAAAGTATGATTGTTGGAGTCAAATGACTTCTAAGGACCTACAAGTAAAAACCCACTCCACCGCTCTATAGCTGTGAGTGTGTTACTTAGCCTCACTGAACCTCGGTCTCCTCATTTGTTAAATGAAAATAATAACCCAATACCACAGGGTTGAATATAGTTAAAGCCTTACACATAGAGTACATCCATTAAAAAAAAAAACAGTGGCCAGCATTAATTACCAGCACAGTTGACTGTTATTGGGAATTATTTCAGCCTCTCCCAGGAGACTGAGCTCTCTCAGGGTAGAGGCTGTCTCCCATGAATATTCAACCCTCCTATTAATTTTGTGTTAATTCTTTAAATTAATCTTTGAAGTTTTTGCTAACTATTTTAACAATGAAAAAGGTTAAAGTAGCTTCAAAAATAAAAATGAGTCTATTTCTTCCAAAAGTTCAAATTCTTTTAAGCAATATATACCTGCATAGCCTTCCTCCATCGGAGGAAATATATACACATCGATCTGTGAGATTTGTTGAAATGGAAACAAATTCATTGACGTATCCTGCTCGTCGCATCAGTCGAAATGTATTCACTAGCTTTTTATGGTCACGAATGACACCCAGAATGTTACCTAAGCAAAAAGAAATAAGGTAAAACAAATGAAAAATAAATGTAATCAGATTTAAAATATCTACCCAATAAAAACACTAAGGAACATTGAGAGTCATTTGCAAATACTCTAGTTAGCAATGCAGCCAGTCCATGGGCTTCAGGAAGTGACACAGCAGTGTGGTCAAGGATGGTCTGAAGGCCTTGAACTCCAGGGCCATCCTACTTCACAGTGGCTGAGGAATTCTGGAAACATTAGTTTTGCTCTGGCCATGAGTATGGGGACCAGACAGCATGGGTTTAAACCCTGACCCCACCACTGCAGAAAGTTGTGCAGATGACGAGTTAATCTATATGAAGCACTAAGAACCCTGCATAGAACCAAGTGACTGCTTTGTGATTACCATCTGTAAAATGGAAAAACTGGATTTTACCTCCTGGAGTTAGAAAGAAGATTGAGAGGCACAGGCTGAGTGTGCAAGTAAGAGCTCCCTCCAGTCAGCCCTGGGAGACACTGGACAAGGGAGCAGCCTGCTGAAACCCTGACCCATCTGTAGTAGCCAACCCATACCATAAAGGGTCAGTGGCTCCCTACCTGTAACACACCGTTTAAGACAAACATGTCTCTATAATATACCTACCATTGAGAAAGACGAGAAACACATTTGGGTAAGAAAGCTCTTCCCCACATAATAAATTCACATCTTCTACTCCCAAGTTACTGGCTAACTTAACAATGGGTCCATCTTCCATGTCAGTTGTGATATGTGTCATAAGTGCCAAGTTTTTAACCAAACCACAAGCCTAAAAAAAAAAAGACGGTTATTTCTAAGAATAAACATTAGTAATATAAAGTACAATTTGTGTCTGAATACAGCTCACCACTTTGCTGGTAGGAATATAAAGCACTACAACTATATAAAGGACCCTTGGGCAATTTACAAGAAAGCCTTTAACCCAGCCTTTACCCTCAGGTAGAAAGAAAGGATATAAAATAGATTCAGCTACAGAAATGCTCCACCCAGTACTATTTGCAATTATAAATAATCACATCATAAATTTCAACTGTGCAAACTGTTATTACCAAACAATGAAACACCACAGTCATAATAATTATGGAAACAGTAAAGAAAAGCATACATAAATGTGGCTATATAAAAACATAAAACTTCTGGTTGGAAATAGAGACACTTCATAAAATAACTGACAACAATGCTAAAGTTTATTGATCATGAAAGGCTAAGCAAGACTAAAGAACATTTCAGAGACTAAGGAGATGAGGGATCCTGGATCAGAAAAACACATGGCTGGGAGGACTGGTGAGATCTAAATAAGTTCTACATATTGTAGGCTTGATATGAATGTTAATTTCATGAGGTTAATAGCTATGCTATGTTTATGTAAGATGCTGAATTTGGGGAATCTAGGTGAAGGATTATAGAAACTCTTTGTACTATTTTTACAACTGTTTTGTAGATTTGAAATTATTTCACAATGAAAAGGAAATAAAAATACTTTCAAACTTCTGTATAACAACAAAAAAACAAAAATATCATAAAGGACAGAGTACAGAAAATAGAAAAAATACTCAGGACACATGTGACAGGTAAAGATTTTGTTTTTAATTCTTAAAAAACCTCTGCTATAAAAATACATGAAGTACTACTTTATAAAAGTTAACTGAAAACAATCTCTGGGAAATTTAGTTTTCAAAGTGTATAAATTATGCAAATTTGAAAACTGCATAAATTAATGCAAATTTCCATATGGTTCAAGATAAATTAGGAGAATAATTTTTAAAAATCAGAACCCTGAATGGGCTCCTAATTTTCACCTCCTCCAAGTCCTAACAAATTTCTATACTTTGGAACCCACATCTTTTGTTACAAATTAGCTTATTTATTCATTTAGCACTTATTTATGTTGCTTCTACTCTGAACAAGGATCTATAGGAAGCTGAGACACAATGCTGAACTTTCCTTCCTCTGGAAGTTTATGATTTGGAAGGAACAGACTTGACACTAGCAGTAGTAACATGAAAGAGAAGGGACCATGACACAGGGAGTAGTGGGTGCTACAGAGGGGTTTACTTACATAAACCCCTGGGTTTAGTGTTGAGGTTCTGGCTTGTGCTTCCTATATAAGTGAGAAATACTTCAGGGTTGGCTTATATGCTCCTAGTTGGATACAACTGAGTCTATGAGGTCCTCTAAATGGCCTAAAGAAAATAAGGAGCTGCTCAAAAAGAGCTCCTTGCAAGCATCGAAGGTGAAAGGACTGTCAGTGGTCCACATTCTTATCCTCTCTTCATTGAATAGTTTGATTCTTGGGATAAACTACAATGAGCACAGGAAAGGCAAACCATGGGTCTCTTTCGGTAAGACTGAATTAAATGCTTCTGCAAATACTGGTTTGGAATGATGATAATGATGTAGTCTTGACAAGCTGCATCAATATTTCTTTCCATATAAGGGTTAATCAAAACAGAAGACATGGCTCAGAGAGTAGGAGTGGAAGAATTCCCCAGTTTCCCACCCAACAGGTATGACCTCTTACTTTGCAGAGATTCCCAGGGTACCTTACCTCTCCCTCAGGCGTGTCCGAAGGACAGAGCATTCCCCACTGAGATGGCTGGAGGGAGCGAGGACCACTCACTTTTCTTGTTTTTTCAAACTGGGAAGAGATTCTTGTCATCATGCCCAGTGCAGATATGTATGATAAGCGAGATAGCACCTGGGTCACTCCCTGGCGGTCCATTTTAAATCTCTTTAGAGACCAATTTCCCTGTAGAGAGATGAAGGACATAACACTACCACTAGCCCTTTTTCATATACTCCCTGGTACTGAGTGGTCATTCTGAGAAGTTAACATAGGAACGGCTTTCTCATAAAATTATATCCATGATATAAATTCAGGAACCAAAATATTATAATTAAATTAAAACTCTGCCAGGTCACCTGCTGGGGCTTTCTAGAAATACAGTGAATCTGAACTGTCTTGCAACCATCTCAGAATACACCAATGCATCAACCTTATCACATCAGAGCAGCCCTCTTCTGAGGAACTCATTCATTATACTGAACAAGTCAGTTCAATCAGAGATTTCCACTGCAAGCAACAAGCTAACTAGAAACACCAGCAATTTCTATATACTTTTAGGATACAACAAGTTTGAAAATCAATGAGATAATCTCATGTTGGAATGTGTTATTATCTGGACATCTTCCAAAGTTAGTCTTAACTAGAGGCAACTACAGCAACAAAAAAGTGACTGATAGCAGCTATTAGGATTAATGAATAAACTGAAGGCTTCTTTTTTCTTTCTCTCTTTTTTCCCTCTCTCTTTCTTTCTCCTGTGGTATTGAACTCAGAACCTTGTGCATGCTAGGCCAGCACTTTACTACCATGCCACAGTCCTTATTCTTTTGCTTTTTAGTTTGTTTTGCACATAGGATCTTATGTTAATTTTGCCCATGCCAGCTTCAGAACTCTATCCTCCTACTTCTGCCTTCTGAGTAGCTGACATTACAGACATGCACTTCTATGCCTGACCCCAAACTGTAGGTTCCTTAAGTGAGGCTCAAGGAATTTAAAAACCATACATATATTCATATTAAGAAATACCGTATGTTCTCTGTCATTACGATGTATTAAAAGATTCATATAAATAAATCTTGAATATTAAATTTACTTTCTCTCCCATGTACTAAGTATATCAAATATATTATTTTATTAGTATTAGTTATGTACATTACATATTTTCCAAAATATAGACTCATGTTAACATGAATTAACAGCAGAAAATAGCATCAAAAAAAGCAAATTAGAAAATAAAGTGTCAAAAAAAAGTAGATTCAATTATCTTCCCTATTCCAACAAGAAACCATCTGCAGAGGTTCTTCACTTCTCCTTTAAGAACCTGATGAAAGCTATAAATATTTTCTTGAGAAAAATTTAGAGGACCATGAACACAAAAGCTTACATCCAGTTCAGCAGAGCACTCATGGATCCCAGCTTAAAAATCCTTGTAGTAGAAGATTAGGGAATCTATTTGTATTAAAATATGTGATTTTGGGGGAGCTCCCTCACAAATTAAAGTTTTACCTTTATTACAATGAAGATCTATCACTACGGAACCTTGAGTTTTTGAAATGAAGAAAAGAGCCAAATTCTAGGGAGAAACTATCCCTTCCATTTCAAAGCAAAGAAACAGTGCAAACAGACGCATCCCACAAATAACTTTTTGTATTGCTTATTAAACTCCTGCTATCCTTGGAATGAGACTGACTCTAGTAAGTTAACTTATGCCCAGAGAGTAAATAAGGCAAATATTCAGTGAGGCTAAAATAAGGCAGCAGCTGTTGGCTAACAGGAAGTAGGTGGAGAGTGAAGGCAGGATGTTCCACAAGAGAATTTGCTCTAGTATTCTGCAGGAATATTATAAAAGGGAGAGAAGAGAAACAGAAGAGGAGTCTGAAACTGCTTCTCACTCTTCTATTAATGACAACACTCACAGAATTTTAAAGGTTGATCTTTTCCCGGTTGCCTACACATCTGCCTAGTACTGGTTTTTCTAATAAGCAGTCCTGTCAGGAAGTAAAGCAGTATCACTTCAGGGGAAAAGAACTATTCCAAACAGCTCTTGTGAACTGAAAAATATGGGTCAGGAAGCAAGAAAAAGCAAGTTTAACAAAGGTGTTCAAGCACTCTCTCGAGGCTTTTTTTCACGTATTTGGGGATCTACCTTCAGAAGAGTTTGATGTGCCTTACATACACAGAGGCAGAGTGCATCTCCACTTTGGTTGTAGCCATCATTGCAAGGGCTGCTCACATAACCCACTGTAAATCTCTTATGCCCAGCATGGAGGCAAGTCTGCACTATTCTTTCACTGTTATAGGAACCAACATGGTGGACTACACTATTCTTTGTTGGGACAAGATCCCATTCATAAAACTAATTGAATGTCTGGCATATAAAATGTAAGCCAGATTTCATCAGATAGATCTATAATTGCTATGCTTTGAGAAAGGGAGCAAAAACCTATCTGATAACTTTTCATGATTAGCTCAAGGCCCTGAATACATAGCAGCTGCTGAGGACTGAACTCATCACTCAGGGAGGAACAGCTGATAGGCCTTTAGAGAATATAAACCTACTGTAAAATGAAATGCTTTTGTATTGTTTTGAACATAAGTTGACAATTAATATATCTGCCTAAAATAGGTCAATTTTCTTAGGGAAAAAAAATGGAGGAAAGTACCCCTTAAAAGACTGGTTATTAATAGTTAAATCAAAAGCTTTTTCCCTCTGTGTAAGTCTATCGATTTTCTTATTACCTCATATAGCAAGAACACAAACTTGGCAGGAAAATTATACAGTAGTCCTTCCTTGTCCATGGGAGATAGGTTCCAAGAGACCCAGTGGCTGTCTGAAAGTGCAAAGTTCCAAACCCTATATGCCCTGTATTTTTTCCTATACATATATACCAATGATAAAGTTTAATTTACAAATTAGGCACAGTAAGAGGTTAACAACAATAACTTATAATAAGATAGGAAAATTACTATTTTTCAAAGCAGAAAATTTTGTGATTTGTATATATTCCTTTAAATTAAAAACATGGATTCTCAGAGTCCTTTACATTTCCATTTCCCTGAATAGATTTCTAAACAAATGGCAAATCCTGAGGACTTACAGTGGAAATGGCATTCACCATGCCATTGGTAATCTGGTCCTGGCGCATGTGTTTCACAACGTCAAACTGGGCTGCCCTCTGCTTGGGAATCACCTGGTCTGCAATCTTCTTCATCTCAGAATTAAATTTTTTGAACAAATCTTCGAAAAGAAGAGATAAAAGCTAAAAAAAAAAATAATAATAAGATATGGGTAATCAAAGCATTACTGGTTATTTTAATAAACTTCAGTCTTGATTAAGGCTAAGCAAAGAGAAAAAAACAAAGAAATTGGTCAAAACTGAAAAAATAGTTTAACAGCTAATGATAGATATAGTTACTGAATTTTCTGTCTGCCTAATACTGTGCTAGGATTTGGGAATGAGAGCAAAGATAATTGTACAATCCCTGCATTTGAATACATTTAATTTAGACCAGCTACTCTCAGGTTTTCAGATTTCATTAACCAGTGTCCTAACTTTCAATTTTACAACTAAAGATACTGAAACCAAAAAAATGGAGGAGGGGGAGATTCCATTAAGTCTGAAGACACTAAAGAGATGGTACCATTGGTAGAATGTAAATTGGTACAACTACTTAAAACAGTTTGCCATTGTCTAGCCATCCCTTAGTCCAGCAGCTCCTCTCCTGGGTGTACTCCCTACAGCAGTGATTCTCAATCTTTACCAGGTATAGTGACACTCTAAGGTCTGTTGAAACACAAATTGCTGACCTGACCTTAGAAAATTCTGATTCAGTAGGTCTTGGGTAGAGCTCAATAATTTGCATTTCTAACAAATTAGCAGAAGTCAGAATGGCTGGTGGGAAGGGGCATTTGAGAATCACTGTCCCACAGAAATCTTCATTTAATTGCATCAGGACACTTGTACAATTTATTTGTAACAGCATTATTTGTAGCACCTAAAAACTATAAACTGTACAAGCAATATTTAGATAAATTGGGGCACATTCACATAACGGGACATCAACAATCAACGAAAATCAAAAAAAAAAGTAACTAATTGCAAAGTCAGGGCTGGATCTTTTTTTTTTTTTTTTCATTTTTCTTTTATTATTCATATGTGCATACAAGGCTTGGTTTATTTCTCCCCCCTGCCCCCACCCCTTCCCTTACCACCCACTCCACCCCCTCCCTCTCCCCCCTCAATACCCAGCAGAAACTATTTTGCCCTTATCTCTAATTTTGTTGTAGAGAGAGTATAAGCAATAATAGGAAGGAACAAGGGTTTTGCTGGTTGAGATAAGGATAGCTATACAGGGCATTGACTCACATTGATTTCCTGTGCGTGGTGTTACCTTCTAGGTTAATTCTTTTTGATCTAACCTTTTCTCTAGTTCCTGGTCCCCTTTTCCTATTGGCCTCAGTTGCTTTAAGGTATCTGCTTTAGTTTCTCTGCATTAAGGGCAACAAATGCTAGCTAGTTTTTTAGGTGTCTTACCTATCCTCACCCCTCCCTTGTGTGCTCTCGCTTTTATCATGTGCTCATAGTCCAATCCCCTTGTTGTGTTTGCCCTTGATCTAATGTCCACATATGAGGGAGAACATACGATTTTTGGTCTTTTGGGCCAGGCTAACCTCACTCAGAATGATGTTCTCCAATTCCATCCATTTACCAGCGAATGATAACATTTCGTTCTTCTTCATGGCTGCATAAAATTCCATTGTGTATAGATACCACATTTTCTTAATCCATTCGTCAGTGCTGGGGCATCTTGGCTGTTTCCATAACTTGGCTATTGTGAATAGTGCCGCAATAAACATGGATGTGCAGGTGCCTCTGGAGTAAACAGTCTTTTGGGTATATCCCCAAGAGTGGTATTGCTGGATCAAATGGTAGATCGATGTCCAGCTTTTTAAGTAGCCTCCAAATTTTTTTCCAGAGTGGTTGTACTAGTCTACATTCCCACCAACAGTGTAAGAGGGTTCCTTTTTCCCCGCATCCTCGCCAACACCTGTTGTTGGTGGTGTTGCTGATGATGGCTATTCTAACAGGGGTGAGGTGGAATCTTAGCGTGGTTTTAATTTGCATTTCCTTTATTGCTAGAGATGGTGAGCATTTTTTCATGTGTTTTCTGGCCATTTGAATTTCTTCTTTTGAGAAAGTTCTGTTTAGTTCACTTGCCCATTTCTTTATTGGTTCATTAGTTTTGGGAGAATTTAGTTTTTTAAGTTCCCTGTATATTCTGGTTATCAGTCCTTTGTCTGATGTGTAAGCTGGCAAATATTTTCTCCCACTCTGTGGGTGTTCTCTTCAGTTTAGAGACCATTTCTTTTGATGAACAGAAGCTTTTTAGTTTTATGAGGTCCCATTTATCTATGCTATCTCTTAGTTGCTGTGCTGCTGGGGTTTCATTGAGAAAGTTCTTACCTATACCTACTAACTCCAGAGTATTTCCTACTCTTTCTTGTATCAACTTAAGAGTTTGTGGTCTGATATTAAGATCCTTGGTCCATTTTGAGTTAATGTTGGTATAGGGTGATATACATGGATCTAGTTTCAGTTTTTTGCAGACTGCTAACCAGTTTTCCCAGCAGTTTTTGTTGAAGAGGCTGCTATTTCTCCATCGTATATTTTTAGCTCCTTTGTCAAAGATAAGTTGCTTATAGTTGTGTGGCTTCATATCTGGGTCCTCTATTCTGTTCCACTGGTCTTCATGTCTGTTTTTGTGCCAGTACCATGCTGTTTTTATTGTTATTGCTTTGTAATATAGTTTGAAGTCAGGTATTGTGATACCTCCTGCATTGTTCTTTTGACTGAGTATTGCCTTGGCTATTCGTGGCCTCTTGTTTTTCCATATAAATTTAACAGTAGATTTTTCAATCTCTTTGATGAATGTCATTGGAATTTTGATGGGAATTGCATTAAACATGTAGATTACTTTTGGGAGTATAGACATTTTTACTATGTTGATTCTACCAATCCATGAGCATGGGAGATCTCTCCACTTTCTATAGTCTTCCTCAATCTCTTTCTTCAGAAGTGTATAGTTTTCCTTGTAGAGGTCTTTCACATCTTTTGTTAGGTTTACACGTAGGTATTTGATTAAAACATGATACTGAGTGACAAATCAGACAAAGAATATATATGCTATGATTCCTTTTATATAAGGTTCGGAAATCTGCACAACTAACTATATTATTTAGGAAGACATAATTGGGGCTAACAATGTAAGGAAAAAGAAGGATACAAATAAATGCCACGAATGATGGAATGAGCTAAAATTCTAAGGACATCTTTTTGGCCAACTGTGGTCTTCCAGGAGCGCACCAGACACAAGAGGCATCCACTGTCACTCACAAGTCCTTTTCTATGGAGTGCAGTGCTCATAAAAGGTGGGAGTAAGGCACAAGGCTTGAGAAAGACACTTTGTTGGGACAAAAGCAACTAAGCTCTATCTACTTTCCTGGACTTTCTCTCATACGAAGCAAAACCTTTAAACGGCTGGGGAAGGGTCAAGAAATGCCCTTCCTAGCAAAGTCCTGGAAGGCAAGGGAAACCTGCACTCAAAGAAGGGTAGAGTTGAAATCTGTCTGTTGGTGGGAGTAGAGGAGAAAATCTCCATTGTCTCCCCCAAACCTTGCACCTAGTAACAAGAAACAGCAGTCTACAGCTGGAGGCAAGTCAGCACACCCTCTCGCCACTGATTCCAGGAAAAAGTATAAGGCCACAGGGAAGAGGTAAGAGCAAAAACCATGGGGGAGGAGCTGGAAACCTATTTGGGCCAAGGATCCTGCATTGATACACAACAGGTTCCAATTCCACAGTGAAGGGGCAGGAAGCTTTCCTTCAAAAACTTGGGAAAAGGGGAGAATGCCCATTCTCACCACTCCTATTCAACACTGCAGCAGAGAAAAAAGAAATAAAAGTTTAACAGGACAAGAAAAAAAAACCCAAAAAACATACTGGGATGAAGCAACTGTCTTTACTTGAAGATAACAGGACCGTCCACACAGAAAATCTCAAGGAGTCTAAAAGAAATTTACTGGAAGTAAGAAATGAGTTTAACAAGCTTGCAGGATATAAGATCAGTAAACAAAAAACAAGTGTATTTATAGCATCACTGAGAAATTAATGAAAATCTCAGTAGGAGAGATATACCACATTCACCGATTGGAAGCATTATTTAGAAGTCAATTCTCTCTAAATTAATCTATCAATTCAAATGCAATCTCAATCAAGAGCTAGCAGGCTTTATTTATTCATTTGTTAAAAAATGGGGAAGCTAATTCTAATTTAAGTAAAAATGTTAAAATCCTATTTATAATAATATTCAAAAAGAAGAAAATAGAATGAAATGAAACTTTCACTATCTCTAGAGGAAACTACAAAACTAAATCATTATTCTGCCAAAAAAAAAAAAAAAAACCACACACACAGCAAACTGTAGAGAACTTGCCAGTATATGCAAAGCCCTGGGTTCAACCCCCAGTAACAAGGGGGAAAAAAAAATTGCATCGAACATTTATCCTGACTTCCCCACATAAATTGTATCTCAAAGTAATAAAAAATGACAATTGAAAAGTATTCTTTATTAAAAATCCCAGCTAATAAACCTGTTAGAATGAAAACATTAGAGTATCACTATTTTACATGCCCTAGTGAGATAACGGATGAAGGAAATGATCCTCCCCTCCTCAGCAGCTACATAAAATCATCGAGAGAAAAGTCCACGAGGAACTTCAGAATGTATGAATCAGGGCCCAAACCCCAAACTCAGTGATCAAATCCAACAGATTATCACCAGACATGTCCTTCCTGATAGGGTACATCTATGACATGTATTTAAAACAAAAACATGTCAATTGCATCTTGTCTGGTTTACAAGAAATTCAGAAGAGAGAGAGAGGACTGCAAATGTTGCTTACAGCCCAAAGAATATTTTGCCCTCAGTGGAATTTGGCAAATACTTCTACTGAACTTTAAAATATGTTAAAAGGCATATATTTCAATATGTATGCTTATCTCTCATACTTTTTGCTTATAACTCTTATGTTGCTGCACTAGTCCACTCTCCCCTTATCTCACAGACTGGTGTCTTTTACTTCCTTCTGTTTCCCAAATAGGGAGATCTGAGTCCGCTACATACTGTTTTACCCAGGGATCTCCTACAATTTTAACTGTCATTATCAATGGTAAAACTCCAGCCCTGATCTTTGACCTGT